AATCCCTTCATTTACAATATAAGCAGATTCATTGTGTTTCACATTTTAATCCTTCAGGAATAGCACTAACAACTTTCTTTCTGTGTTATGGAATACACTAGTAGTCAAAAGTACCACTAGCAAATGAAAACTATTTAAATCTCAACCATTTGTGCTCATATTTTTAGTGTAAATAGAACTCGGTGAACTCTGATCATAGGTACCAACCTGATCTCGATTGATTAATGTTTACTGGAGTCATTAGCTCAACAGTATCATCATCTTGTGAACATCATATTTCAACAATTTTTCAATATTGAATTTCGTGCAACTTCTCATTTGGAAGTCCAACATCAAAACAATCTATGACAAAAATTTTGTAAAAACATTACTTTAAATTAATGAAGATATGGTCTTCGCAATAAAAATGTTTGACAAGCGTTTAGTCCTAGTGTTGAGTCTGGTGTTAAAAACTCGAGTTAACTTTGGTCGATCTATTTGAAAATTTCAATCATAACTTCTGATGGTTCTAACGGGTGTTTCAGTATTTTAACGATATCTCTTTCAATATTCGTTTGTTCAGACTTTATTTTTTTTTCAAAAGATTCGTCTTGAGATGTTCTACAAAATGGTGTATTTTTCCTTCATGTAAATAACATCTATCATTTTCAAAGATATGCTTCAAACGAACAGCCCAAGATGAACAATTTTCTAAACCAACATTTTGGTTATTCGTCTTTTCATTCTCTACAAAATAATGTATTTTTATTTGTTTAAATAACGTCCATCATTTTCTACGACACGTTTCAACTAAAATGTTGGTTTAGAAAATTGTTCACCTTGGGCTGTTCGTTTCAAGGATATCTTGGAAAACGATAGATATTATTTACATAAAGGAAAAATACATAATTTTGTAGAGCATTTCAAGCCGAATCTTTTGAAAAAAAAAGTCTGAACAAACGAATATTGAAAAAGATATCGTTAAAATACTGGGACATCCGTTAGTAGTTCATGAAAAAAGCTCTAGAATCATAGCACAAACTGGAGTCGAGATAGAATCATCAAAAAACTCATTATAACACAGATTGTCAATCAATGGGATCTCGATATTATGGCATAATCTTTTGACTCAGTAAACTAGACATAGAGAGCTGCATTTAGCATCAGAAAAAACGTAAATAAAATATAAGACTATAAAACGCCAAGTGAAAGATTCTTGATGTAGCATCTTTACTCAATTGCATCCGCTTTATTCAAAAAACTGTCAGCATGTGTATAAGAAGTTCTCGTACACGAGTCAATTAAACTTTGGTATAGAGAAAACATCCTTTTTAGGTTCAAGCAGTTCAGACATGGTATACATGCCGCTAACGCTATAACGCGAAAATTCTATAAACTGAAGGAATTGGTTTCAGATTTAAAATCATCGTTAAATAGGCACATCTTCTTCATGCGAAAACTGTTTACAGTTCCTTCAATAAATCCAAAAAAAATTGAGTAAAGATGTTACATCAAGTACATTTTACTTGCCATTTTATGGTGTTATATTTTATTTATATTTTTTCTAGTGCCAAATGGAGCTCCCTATGTCTAGTTTACTGAGTCAAAAGATCATGCCATAATATCGAGATCCCTTGTTTTCATCAACTACTAGAATCACAAGAAGTGATGACTGAAGTTTTCAAGTGAATCGACCAAAGTTAACTCGAGTTTTTAACACCAGACTCAACACTAGGACTAAACGCTTGTCAAACATTTTCATTGTGAAGATCATAGCTTCATTAATTTAAAGTAATGTTTTTACAAAATTTTCGTCATAGATTGTTTTGATGTTGGACTTCCGAATGAAAAATCGCGCGAAGTTCAACGTTGAAAAATTGTTGAAATATAATCTTCACAAGATGATGATACCGTTGAACTAAAAACTCCAGGAAACATTAATCAATCGAGATCAGGTTGGTACCTGTGATCAGAGTTCACTGAGTTCTATTTAACACTAAATGTTTGAGCACAAATTGTTGAGATTTAAATAGTTTTCATCTGCTAGCGGTACTCCTGATCACTAGTGTACATTGAATATTTTGAGCGGTCTGTGCATACTAGAAAGAAGTCCTATATGACTAATTCGACTGGGAATCACTTTCTAAGACCTTGTGGGACAATTTGAGTTAGAAGAAAGCAATTTTCTCGGCGGGTGGAAGCTTTTTGTTCTCTTATCGATCCCTTCCTTAAAGAACTCATTTATTGCTTCTCGTGGTAGGAAACGAGAAGACATCAAAGTGTTACCAGCAGATAAGACCGCATCTCCACACTCGAACAAAAAAGTCAAAGGAATTCTGAAGAGTTTCTAATGCGTTGGTCTCTTTGATTGATATTGCTTTGTCTGCATGTTTTTGTTTCCAATTGATCATTTGAAACTAACAAAAATTAAAAGCTAATGAAAACTCTGATAATCTTGTTTTATTAAATGTTAAAGTGGGTTAGAATGCTATTGCAAACGATTTTCCTATTTTTTGTTAAAATATTTTTTACCTATGGGCTGCCACAATCGACATATTTTGTTCTAGTAATTATTTTTTTAATTTTTTTTCGTAGAAGTGTTGGACTTGTTTTGCACATTCTGCATAGAAATAAAGAAAAAACTTTTACATGTTAAGGTTGTGTCTTCACAATGACTGACATCGTTTGACCAATAAAACTCAAATATGAAACGTTATGATATTTCGTCGTTCTTAGATCGCATACGATCATTCATGAACGATTACTCGCTAAGATCACTGCTTTTCATCATTTTAATATGGTTTAAGAGCGTTTACCAGTGGATATTAATAAAACGAGTAAATATTACTGAACATCTCAATGAAACAAGGATCATAGATCTAATGATACTAGTTCACAGAGCATTCTAAGTTTTGCTCACGAACACTCACGCATACTTCTTCTGGATATCTCTTTGAGGATGATGTCAGAAATTGAAGAAAAAAAAGATTTAACAACACCTATAAAGCACGGCCAACACCCACGAACACCGATTAACTGCCAATGAAAACCTTTGAACACCTGTTATTTGAAGCTATCTCGGACTCAGAATAGACATGGGGATAGTTTCATATCAGTTCCGATCTTGAGAACTGTTTAACAGTTCTGTTAACAAGAACTGATGTGTTCAAGTAGTTCTTTTGATCGGAACTTGGGTACTTCAAAAAATTTTTATTCCCATAAATGGAATAATTTTGTTCTGCTATTGGAAAAATTTTCCGAATAATGGAATAATATTGTTTTGTTTTGAAAATTTTTCACCCAAAAGCAGAATAATACTGCTCTCCTTATAAGAACAGCATTCCTTTAGGCAAACGCAATTCCTATCAAAAGAACTGTTGACATAGATCAGTTCCTTTGAAAAGAATTGTTCAGAGAATTCTTTTGAGCAGTTCATCTGAATTTTGAACTGTGAATTGTCCGAGGTCTAGCTCAGGATGTGGATGTGTGGGTGGGGTACCTCTCATATGCGAACATGAGAAAAACATATTTTAAGTAAATTAAAATTTTTTAAAATTTGGTTTGATTTAAATTTGATACTTTTATTAATTTTTGGTAAAACAATTAAAATTTATATTTAACTTTTAAAAATTCGATTACTGTGAACGAATATTGAAAGTAAATTGTTTTAAAAAATTTTTATACAAATTAATGTTTTTACTAAGCATGCTGCAATTTGTAGAGGACGTAAGATTTTGATCAGAGAAGGTTTTTAAATTTAGTGCTGTTGCTGTAATTTATAGAGGACGTTAGATTTTAGTTAAACTAAAATTTTTCTTTGAATCTAGCTCCAAAGAATTTCAATAGAAGTCAAAAATAGAATGTACTAGCTGGTTTTTTTCTTTTGTTATTGATAAACTAATACTCATAGTGTATGAGCAAGGGTCGTCGATTTAGGCTAAACTAATCTACGTGTAAAAAGTCTTTGCACAACATCTTTATTCGATTTTCATCCACTCATAGGTCGCAGGAGAGAATTAAAAGTAGTTAGCTAGGGTGAGAATTTCATGCTCTTTCTAACTATATACTCAGAAATTTTTTCTGACTTAAATCTGATTTATTGAGAAAAAATCTTTGGTGGGTACCAACACTGACGTTTGTACAGAATTTTTCCTGTAGTGCATTTTGTATTTTGATTAGAACTACCTCAATCCTAGTTATAAGAAAGTTTTTTATATACTACTTTGTAGAAGGATGCTTTCTCTACAAAATCCCCAATTTGTTTCTTTTCCTACATATCATTGCACTTTAGCAGAATATGTTGCAGTTCAAATATCAAAATCTGCAAAAAACGATTATTTCGAAAAATGTCATTTCATGTAAAGAACGGCATCTCGGAAAATGTTTGTAGCTTTTGAGTTTCATTTTATTGCAGCCGGGAGTTTTTTAGAACATTAAATACTCTACAAAAACAACAAATAGAAATTATCTGATAATATCCTTGAGAGAGCTTACGCATAACAAGAAAACAGCTTAATGCAAACGATATTTTTTATTTATCCAGATGTTTGCTTACAGCTAACTAATTGCAAGTCTGGATAAAACTTTAAGAATACATTTAGAAAGAGCATCAAATTCTAGCTCTGGAACACTACTCTCAGCTCTCTTCAATTACACTCAAGTGTTCAAAAAATGAGCAAACATATTTAACAAGATCTGCGAAACTAGTATTTTGTACAAACGTCATTTTTCGTATCCATCAAAGATTTGTTCTCAATAAATCAGATTTAACTCCCCGTAGACGTTGTGGAGTCCGCGCGAACCTATCTGACAATTTTTCCTCTAGTAGTCCATCACTATTTGTAGTTTTGGGTCATTCCCTCTCTCTAATCTGTAATCCTTAGTTGACTCATAATATTCTCACTAGAAATCAGAAATAGCTCTAAGGAGGTAGGACACCCAGCGTGTTATAAGTATGAATTTTTTGTCTTGCTAAAGCTGCCATCTGTTATTTTTCAATTGTTTTTCCAAATAGATTTGTTATGATTCGTCTGTACATTCATTCCTAATGTTAATGATTCATATTTTCTCTGCATAATGTGAAATTTGTGACTATTTTCAGATCAAAACCACATTTCTGCATACTGTTATTTTTGTCTATTTATCTCGATTGCGTGAATCTGTTACAACCCTTTTAAACATGTAAGAAAATTAAACTAGAAAGCATACATTTTCACCTTTTCTGTTATTATAGCATGAACGCAACACATAAGTAAAATTTAAAAGGAATTCGAGACATTCTATCAGTAGATGAAAATGAAACTAATAATGATTTTAGTGATAATTAAGGTTCTGATTCGGATAGTGAATATGATTTTGTTGATACTGAAGCAGACGATACATCTAATAGTGAACATATATCAGAAGAATCTGATTTATCAAATTTTGATATCGAACAAGGTGATGTTGTTACAACTAGCCAACCAGAAACATTACAGAAGGATGGTATCATACGGTCTATGTACCCAAAGTTAGAAGAAAGTCGTATAGCTGCTGCTAATATAATGAAAAAAAAGCTTGATCCTATTATTAAAATTCAGACAATTCTTAATGCTTTTAAACTTTTCTTTACAAATGAAATTCTTGATCAAATTGTTCTCTATACAAATCTTTATGCTAAACGATATTTTGATCAAAAAATAAGTTTACGACAAGATTCTAATAGCATAAGATTAGATTCACATTGTTGGAAACAAATTGATCGTATAGAATTAGAATCTTTTATTTGATTATTGATTCAATCTGGTGTGAATCGAAGTAATCATGAATTACTTTATGATCTATAGGATATTAGTCAAAGTCATCCATTATATTGTGCCACGGTGTCTCTTCAACGTTTCAAGCATCTTCTTCGATTTATTCGTTTTGATGATCTAGAAACTCGTGATAAATCTGATTGTCTTGGTCCCATTGGATATATATTTGAGCTTTTTTGTCAAACAACTTCCTAAACATTTTGTACCCGGTGAAAATTTAACTGTTGATGGGCAATTAGTGCCCTTTCGAGATCGTTGTTGTCTTGTACAATATATGCCAAACAAGCCGGCTAAATACGGACTAAAATTTTGGGTTTTGTCTGATGTAGATAATCGATATGTATTATCGATTGATCTATATACCGGAAAAAAAGGCGACCAAATTCAGAAGAATGTTGCAACTAATGTTGTTCTTAATTTACGAGGGAAGGTCACCAAGTGTGAGTCTCCGTTTTGAATCGGGTATTTATCATTTTGTAGAGCTCAGTGAGTACAGTAACCGCGTATAAAGGATTTCTCCCCATCGTGAACTTTTCGGGGATAATGAGGTTCCATACCTTCTGAAAAATCATCATAAGACTCTTAACTGAGGGTTTGAATATTAATATTGTAAGGACAAAACATGATGTTGTTCGGGCCAATATGAGGTTATCAGTGATGCTCTTTCATATGGTCCGAACAACACTATGTTTTGGCCTTATAATAGTAATGTGAATTTTTTGCTTTTTCCTAGAAAACATTGTTTTCTATGAGCTATAGAAAAAATTAACTCTACTAATATAAGGACGAAACAAATTGTTATTCGGGTCATATAAAAGCGCATCCTTGATAACCCTAAAATGGCTCGAACAACAATGTGTTTCATCCTTATAATATTAGAGTTAATTTTTTCTATAGCTCATAGAAAACAATGTTTTCTAGCAAAAAGCAAAAAATTTCACATTACTATTATAAGGACAAAACATAGTGTTGTTCGGACCATATGAAAGAGCATCAATGATAACCTCATGTTGGCCCGAACAACATCATGTTTTGTCCTTACAATATTAAAATTCAAGTCTTCAGTTAAGAGTCTTATGATGATTTTTCAGAAGGTATGGAACCTCATTATCCCTGAAAAGTTCACCATGGGGAGAAATTCTTTATACGCGGTTACTGTACTCACTGAGCTCTACAAAATGATAAATACCCGATTCAAAACGGAGACTCACACTTGGGGACCTTCCCTCGTTAGTGGATCATTTGCCGAACAACGTCAAACAAGGTCGATGCATTACATTTGATCGATATTTTACAGACATCAAATTATCTGAAGCTATGTTAGATCGAAAAATGACGTCTATTGGCGTTGTCAAACACAGACGCTCGTTTTTATCTGATGAATCGAAAGTATGTCGTCAAAATTTATTTTCATCGTGGTTTTATTTTTCAGAACCACATATGCTTTTGTCCTACCAAGCAAAAGAGCAAAAGCCCAATCATCATTTTATCTTCGTTGGATAAACATCCTGAAGTTTTTGATCACGAGAAAAAATTACCATGTGTAGTTCATGACTATAATCAGACAAAATGTGACGTTGATGCTGTTAATCAATGCATTGAGAATTACACAGTCAGATGAATAAATAGGTGATGACCAATGAATGTCTTTTACAATATGATAGATATTGCCGCAATCAATAGTATGACAAGCTAGTTATGTCAAAATTCTGAATGGAACAAAGAAAGAACGAATACTCGTCATATGTTTTTATCACAATTAAGTATGGCTTTGACTGATTCACAAAATCAACGACGTAGTCAGCAATCTCGTCTTAAGCCAAAAGTAAAACTTGCTTTATTGTCTCTTGGCTATCATCTTCGATCAGAAAGTGTTGAAGATCTTAAAGTGAACGTCCATTTGAATCCACCAAAAAGAAGCTGTTAGTTGTGTCCATCAAAACCCGGAAGAAAAGTTCGGCAAACCTGTCACAATTGTGGGCATAACGTTTGTCTTTTTCATTCTAAAAGCATTACAATGGTCACTTGTCAGACATGTCAAGAGAAAAATTTTTAAAAATTTTATATTTCACCAGGAAAATTAAACAACAACAACAGCAACACCTTCATTGTGCCAGGAAAACTACTGTTTTAGATTTTTTTAATCATGGAAAAAAGAAAAAGATAAAAATAAAGCTGTTGAAAAAGAGACAAACTCTTTCTCTTCATACCTAATACCAATTATGTATGTGGATATACGAGCATATTTCTATTGTTCTATAGACTGAGTGCATTGGATCGATCACTTTTTTCAGCTAAATTTCTGTGTGTGCAATGAAATCAATGTCAGACCACTTTTTTCGATATTGTATTCCTTTGTATTGTTTTTATGAAATTTGACACACATATATTTATGAACAGAGTATTTAGAGGCTTATAGTACATAAATGACTAGCTGAAGTAAAACAAAAGTATCGATTTGTTACAATTTTTTATGGGTGGATCCATCTAGACCCCACACCATCCATGAAGTTCCAAAATGGCAATGTCCACGGAGGGTTCATGTTCACGAATGAGACATTGCATACTGAATCGTATTGAATTAGAATGTCAGGAAATAACCGGCTACATCAATCATATCAAAGAATATGAGATAAAATTTAAAAGAAGAAACATTTGTATCGGAAATATTGCAGCAAAAACTACATGATTACAATGATCACGATTATAACACTTATAGTACAAATGATGCGGATGATGGATGACTTGTTATCATCAATTTACGTTAAAATCTTTGAATATCTTTTTGACCAACCGATTTGAATTCAAAACGCTTTTGAAATAAAAGCATCAATAAAATAAAGGTCGAAAAGCGTTTCCTAATATATCAATTCCTTGTCATAAAATAAAATGAATATATCGATTATGATGATGTTCTTAATAGGAAAACAAACTCAAAAGATTATTAAATCATGTTGTGAAGTAGAAGATGGCTAAAAATTTGTATTAAGAGATATTTGTTTGTTAACTGCTTAGATTTTGAAAAATTTTAATGAGTAGCATTCAATAAATTCTTTATATCTTTTGAAAGGAAACAGTTGTTTTCAAAGCGGATTTAGATCACCTTGAAAGTTGATTCCATATCTCAGAAGAAAAGCAACTGGATTTTTTCGTCAACTTTATAAAGAGATGCAAATAATGTCGACTCTAGATAGTATTATAAACCCTAGTAATTTCTCTTTTTTGGTTTAAAGTTATCCGAAAAATGTCCACGTCTATTTAACTCTAAAATAGACATTAGTTTGTTTTGTCTATTTATTCTGCTGACGATGTTATTCTATATGTGTAATTGATGGTTTGACGTGATTAGTATCGAGTGGAGCAGAATAAATGATACCTCAGGATTTTGGAAATAATTATCTCCTTCGGTTTTCACTGTTGAGATTTGTTTTTTTTTTAAGATTTGTCTTTTAATGTTCTACAAGACGATATTCTTTTATTAATGTAAAAAAACAAGCATTCGTTTTTGACAGACAATACAATCGAGCGATCCAAAATGAGTAGCTTACAAAGACAATTGCAGGTCGAATTTTTGTGACAGACTTTGAGTTCTTCAACCAACATCTTCTTTGATGTTACTTTGTCTCACTGGATAGCACGAATAAGTTCATACTATATTGAATAATCCTGAGGATTTAGATCGAGACTATTTGGTGGCCCATAATCTTTATCAATGAATGATGCAAAATTGTTCTAATGGACTAAGTTTTTTCTGGAAGATTCCTTGTTTGATGCTCTACAAGAACGGTGTTTAGTTTTTAAGTCACTTATATCCATTATTTTTAAGACTGCGAACAGCAAAGATGTTCAGAAAATTGTTTTTTCAAAGTATGAAAAAGGTAAACATCCAACGAATATATTTTGTGGCTTGAACAATGCTCTAGGCCTTGGTGCCATTAAACGATGGTACAAAATGATCCGTGACACTGAATCTATACAACTTTCGAGTCCGCCAGGCTGTCTACGTATTGTTCGAACAAAGAGAACAATCGAGAAGGTCCAACACCTATTGCAGCGAAAGAAACCAATATCAACTCGAAAATCAGCGAGTGAATTGAGTATTTCGAGAACAAGTATACAGCAAATACTCAAAAGTGATACGGATCTTCGACTCTGCAAAAAATACCCGAACCAGTACACACTGACGAGCACAGAGACTAACGAAAAAAGTTTGCTAATTGGCTTCGAACAAGTTTCCGGAAGGAAGAGACGATGAAAATTCTCTTTTCCGATAAAAAAATATTCGGCATTGATGGCGTTTATAAGATTCATAACGATCCGGTGTGGGCAGTAAATCGTGCTGCAGCGGATGAGAAAGATGCTATGATGCAGACACAAAAATGTCCCCAAAATATTATTGGTTGCTTATGATTGGATTTCAAGGAAGTCTCATTATTAATTATCTTTGAAAACGGTTCAATAAACCATGTTCGATATATATACAGGAGGTACTTCGTGTCGTACTGAAATATGGCAACAAGGTCCGCGGAAACTATTGGATTTCTCAACAAGATGTTGAAAAATCACATATTCACCATTTCATGCACTAATGATGTCGGGACAATTTTGTATCATTCATTGATAAAGATCATTGGCCACCAAATAGTCTCGATCTAAATCCTCAGGATTATTCAATATAGTATGAGCTTCTTCATGCTATCCAGTGAGACAAAGTAACATCAAAGAAGATGTTGGTTGAAGAACTCAATAAGTCTGTCACAAAAATTCGACCTGCAATTGTCTTTGAAAGCTGCTCATTTTGGATCGCTCGATTATATTGTCTGTCAAAAAAGAATGCTTGTTTTTTTCATTAATAGAAGAACATCGTTTTGTAGAACATTAAAAGACGAATCTTAAAAAAACCCAGGTCTGAACAATGAAAACTGAAAGAGATATTCCCAAAATTCTGAGGTACTATTTATTCTGAGCCACTA